TATCAGAAATGCCATATGAGAACACGTGATATAGGTTCATATAAGAGATGCCATATGAAAACATGTGATATAAGCTCATATCAGAAATGCCATATGAGAACACGTGATATAGGTTCATATAAGAGATGCCATATGAAAACATGTGATATAAGTTCATATGAGAGATGCCTTATGAGAACATGTGATATAAGTTCATATTAGAGATTCCATATGAGAACATGTGATATAAGTTCATATCAGAAATGCCATATGAGAACATGTGATATAAGTTTATATCAGAAGTGTCATATGAGAACATGTGATATAAGTTTATATCAGAAGTGTCATATGAGAACATGTGATATAAGTTTATATCAGAAATGCCATATGAGAACATGTGATATAAGTTTATATCAGAAGTGTCATATGAGAACATATGATAAGTTCATATTAGAGATGTAACATGATGTAAGGAATTAATGTCTGATATTTGATATACGAGTTAGTGAGTGAGCTGTTGGCAACATTCCAGCTATGCCACGACGGGGGACACCAGAACAGGACGTCACATATTGCAACCATGACGGAATCAAACCCGGACTTTCATCGTGATGAGCGAACAGTGCAACCACTTGACTACCCACAGCCGTCCATCATGTGAAGATGTGAGAAGTTTATGTCAGATATATCATATATTTAAACAGAAGAAGTTAATATCAGAGATGAAATGTGAGAAGATGCAGGTTTTACAACACCTCACTCAGCAATATCTTAAATACATGACGACGGCCTGTCTGGACCAGACAATCCCGTGTTTGATTTAGTTGTGAGCCTAATCACCTAATCACATCGCCATAGTGCATCAAATATGGCGGTGATCCTCCCTTACTATGGAATATTCTTTGATGTAGCAACTACTTGATAAAACATTCAATTGTACAGTAACACGAAGACCATAAACTGGCGCATTAACTGTGACAGAAACAGTCACACCACATAAACACTACCATTGTGGTTATCATTATTATCATTATTATATATACCTGTTTGTAAAGTCATGACCAGAGGACAATGAGACCCCTGGTATTATCAAACCACATTTAACAGCGTTAAATGGTCATGACAATACAAATAAGTATTGATTAGCAAACGAACAAAATACAACGTGTGACTTATTTACTAACATAGACAAAGTTTGAATGACTATCCCACAGTATCAATAGACGCCCCATATTTCTAGCAATACGTACATTAGTATATCTGTATGACATCTGCCACCGAGAGACGCCCCATATACCTAGCAGTACGTGTATTAGTATATCTGTATGACATCTACCACCGATAGACGCCCCATATACCCAGCAATACGTACATTAGTATATTTGTATGCCATCTGTCACCGATAGACGCCCCATATATCTAGCAATACGTGTATTAGTATATTTGTATTACATCTGCCACCGATAGACGCCCCATATATCTAGCATTACGTACATTAGTATATTTGTATGACATCTCCCACCGATAGACGCCCCATATACCCAGCAATACGTACATTAGAATATCTGTATGACATCTGCCACCGATAGACGCCCCATATATCTAGCATTACGTACATTAGTATATTTGTATGACATCTGCCACCGATAGACGCCCCATATATCTAGCAATACGTACATTAATGTATCAGTATGTAGTGTTTGACTTTTCAACTATTGCCAATCAAACACACAACCCAGGTAAGTAACATGTTTTATATCTTATCTTCCGACTGAACAAAAGAACATGAGTGTATAGGCATGCATGTGAAGGCAGATCAGAAATTAAACAGTTTCCTCGCGACACTTAACAAGAAATAGACTAAAGTCTTATTTAGTTTCAGGTGAGAGAAACCGATTATTTCAATTTTCACTATCGCATTGGCGTTATTTATGCGTAAAGTGGATTATGCAACTGTAAATACTCAACATATAAATCTGCTACAATGTTCACTGTTTGTTTATCCTTTAGCCGTCACCCGCGACAGTCTGTGGACACTAGGTGACACTGAGTAGAGTGGGTATTGATGTATACACCCACAGATAGTACAGCAAGTAGTGTATTGATCACCCCGGGTATTAATCAATCACTCACCTGTACAGGTGAACATTATTTACAATACTCTGGAGGTGTTTCTCTGTCGTAAAGTTTACCATAATGGGTGAATAATGTCAAGTATCATACAACACTTATCTGGATATTGACCCAGTATTATACGTATTTGATATATGCATCTATCAAGGAATAGGTATCAGAAATGTTCTCATTATTGATGAAGTTGTTTTGTTTGCTGTTTAACGCAGCACTACAATATTCTTATGGCTTCGGCCTGTATATCGTGGTGCCTGGACAAGAACGAATGGTTGAAACCATGAGTAACGTACCACGATGATACGCAATCAAACAAATCACGCATAGATCGCTAGATCCATTTAGTCGCCTTTTACAAGCATAGGTTGCGCGAAACCTACTTTTACTTAGAATGTCCAAGAGGGGAATTCTTGGTAAAATCCACACCTCCTTAAGAGCAAATTACAACAATTTGTACTTCAGGGTAATTAAATATATTCATTTTTAATCCGTGTTCGCATTTCCATCAACAAATACCATCATCGCTGCTGTTGCTGCTACAGATGACGAGTATTAACCCTGAAAATAGTACTCATATCTTAAGCTGATTTTTGCATTTACGTAAATTAAATTTTCAGAATTTCATAAACGGTGCATTGACAATATCATTTTTAAAAACTGCTAGAGTGGGACTACCTGGGTATGTGTGCATTAATGAAGTTAATAAGACTATTTAGATATAGTAATTGACATTCATTTCCACAAACACCACCACCTTTAGACCGTCAACAGGCCGTCATTATCATTCACTGCTGTTTACGTGCCGCTTGTTTTTAAATTATTACTATGAGTTGTGATTATTATTATTTTTCGCATGTAGCATCAAATCATGTAGAGTTTGTGTAATCCTTCTGGAGTGCATTTCTCATCAGTTATTTTAACTTATCCTTCAGTGAAAATAAAAGGAAACTTTTAATATGAAATAGGCAAATCGTATTCTTTGGTATCAATTTAAATATGAATTTAACCCTCTTATCTGGTATCTTAAACTATATTGATAAAGTCACATGAGGAAAGTGTAAAACTACCAGAAAACACTACAATTGATTTCTATATTTACGTTGCGTTCTGAAACACTGTATAAGGACGTAAGGACATGATTTTAAAACATTTCCCCATTCACTTGCCGTCGACTGACATGCTTTCTTCTAGTGCGAACATCTGGCGTTATCACTCATTTCCAGTTATTCATTAATATATTTTTCACCGCTATTTTGCCTTTTGGGACCAATGGAATCTGTTTCGGCAGATAATCAAGACTGATTATTACCCGGTGCTTGACGTTTTATGTTTAGCTATATATATATATTCTGTATTTAAGTTTCGTAAAATAAATCGCGTGAAAAAAAAACATCCTAGAAAATAGACATACAAACTGAATAATCTGTGACTTATGCTGCTAGAAGTCGAAATGAAATTTCATTATTAAGTAAAGTTTTGATAAGCTTATTCAGTATAATTGCTGTTAATAAAATCATACATTTCCTCTAAAAAAATATATATATTTTCTGGATCATAAAACAAAATGTTGGCTATTAGTACCGAAGGCGTCAAGTCTCTATAATTGACTGCGTAAGACTCAGTGTGGCACAATGATATTCATAACCATACCAACATTTATATTTTACGGTAAACGAAATAATTGGCGCGAAAACAGCGAATAAAGGGATGACACCTTCAATTCACACGAGCTGATGGAGAACATTCAATTGGAAAATAGCACCACTTTTACCTCATAATTCCATGGTCTTGTTAGGAACCAGCGGCTCATCACATTTCGCAATAAACCATAACATCAACAAATGTTCATATTAGATATGATGTCCTTGTCACTGATTTCCCCCCACCCCCGTGTCCGCTCCCCTGACAACGCTAGCCGCTCTCTCCCAAGCCCCCCTTCGCCAGAGTGAACATTGCATGGCGACTCCCCTCACTTAGTTCGCACAACGCTCCCGCTAATCATTTTTTAATCAAGATGAGTGAGAGACCAAAGATAAATTGTTTCTGCGCGGGTTTACACTGCGAATAACGGTAATTACAAATATTCACATTTATCACGGGGCTATATAAAATGGAAAGTTGCCCGTTCAGTCGTCAGTAGAAGCTTTCGTGACCACAACCATGTTATGGAGAACAGTTTTGTCTTCTTAAGTAGGATATATGTTTTTACTCAAGTTAAAACGGCCTTGGGGTAAAGTTTTGTCGTTCATCACTCCGTGTTAACTGCATCGACGTGTTATTCTGAAGGAATTGCAGAATAACGGTATTTGTGTGTGTCAGCACCAGGATCAGACGTCAGTGACATGTGCCAGTAACAGATGAGTTGTTTGCATAAACCTATCCCACGTCACACTGCTGGGATTGGTAAAATGGACTTATGGAACTTAAAACAGGCATGGAATGTATAGAAACATGGACCATATACCGTGAATTCATATTTAAGCCAAGGTAGGTCAGAATCGGATGTATGGCACCGACATGGTAACTCCACGTTCTTAAAACAATAGGCATTTATAATTTTTCTATTAGTTATAGATATATGTCAAACTAGCAACTGAAATAATGCGTTTCTTCATTAACTAAATCTACATCCGACACATATACATCTTGTTACAAATACGTCTTAGAAAGGCAAATAGATTGGCAGTAAAACATTCGTCAAGTCCTCGTGTAATTCCACTATCATGTTATTCCATATACATCGCTGTGGGTCAACATACTTGCTGATCATACACTTCTTACATTAATCAAGTGTATAATCCCGTGTTTATAGAAGCCTAGCTATGCTCAATGAGTACGACATGATATATTAGTGTAAATAAATGTCCATTGTGAGAGAAGAGTTGTCCTACCTGCCCATTGAGCCTTCCATTGGTGAGCGTGAGATTTGGTAGTCTTCATCCACGGAAACTGTAAGCTGTTTTGTCCCCCGCCGGAGGGTGCGGATTGGGGGGTGGGGCCCTGTGCTTGGGAGTGGGCAGGGGGTGGCTGGGTGGGTTGGGAGACGGGGGAGCTAGGTATGCTGCTGTTCGGCATGTGGGCAGGGACGGGGTTATTCATCGGAGCCTGGATCCCTTGAGATTGAAGTTGGTGTGGAAGACCCGTGGGGGAGTCATTCTGAAGGTGGGACTGCTCTACCACAGCCATAGCCTGACCCCCATATCCTCCCTGGGGGGAGTTCCGGGCGTATATACAAGCAGGAGGGGCATGGCCAGTGTTTGGGTATGTCCCTACGGCCGTTGGAACTGTGTTGTAGCTGTCCCGGGAGTAGAGGGATTGGGTGTAGAACGTACTATGCCCTTCCATCGTAATGAGTGTTCAAGTGTGACCACAAGTTGAAGACGTTTGCTTCCAGGAATCAATTCTCACCGTCTGGCGGTCACATGGTGGTCCGGGCGGGCAGTCCGACGGTCAGGCAGCGTGGTATACCGGGGTGGGGGCTGAGGGTGAGCGTTGGTCGACGACTGGATCACCCCGACTGATTACATGGGAGGAAGTAAGGGCTGATAAACAACACGGGATGACATTGTTTCGTCGTCAGGACAGACATTCCGATATTGGCTACATGTGTGGTTACAAGCTCAGGTGCAGCTGATAGCGTCTCGGCACTTTCTGTTTCTCTGGAATGCAGAGGCCTTGTTCTTCGTGTTAGTGGATGACCCCAGCACACATCACCGCCTGTACCACAATACAGACTGAGATATCCTCAAAACTTTCACCCCTGGCTCGTCATAGTAACAAAATGTCTGTGTTCTGCTTCCAGTCCCGTCACTATTTCTGCGACGTGACTGTGACACCGTGTACTTGGAGACTGTGATGTGGCCTGGAACTTGAGCGTGACGTTCTTTCTCATTCAGTCCCACTCAGATAACGCCCTGCGTCCACTTGCTTTAATGACGTGGCGTTTTCTTCACAAGCATTATTTTGGCCCAAGACAAAATTATCTCAAATGACTGCAATGACCACCCTGCCGACATACATCACAGGTTGTTATGCTTGCAACAGTGTGTGCAATGATCCAAGTGATTCACACGGACCTCCCTAGTTATGTACCAGGCGGAATCCTGCAGTTCACACAGGAAGGATGCCACTATATCATGACTGAATATCAATGTCTAAAACGCACCTAAACCGTTGAGTCCCAACAGTCCCTCTCGACTTTCCCCCCGATATGTGTTGCCTCGTCAACCATTACAGTCGATAGGTAGCTTATCTAGACTAAGAGAGGGGTGATAGCACACGGTGTCGGTGTAATACCAACAACACACTGGCCGGCCCTTTATGTCATACTACACGTTAACTGTTTGCTTTTTGAAATGAGACGATAAACTGCAGATCGTCACAAGAAATAAAACACAAAAATAAGTCACAGATTATCCTTAGAAAAAAAACCAGGAAAAAGTCACAACTGTTTTGAATAGAAGCGCTTATTGTTGATCTTAAGAACGTCCATGTGGGTGGTGTCATGGTTAAAAAAAGAAAGGTCCACATACCATTACACAGTGAAGCCAAGGTGCAATTATCAGAAAACATAACATCATCTCAGTTAAGTGACCAAACTGTGGCCCAACTATCAACAATTATGTAATTAATAAAAAAAAGTCCACAGGGACATAGCGTTTTCATAGCATGTGAAAGTCCGTGAACTCAGTCAATTAACAACCCGATGATCAGACACCATATACGTTCCTAATTAATTAAATGAACAAAGTTCTTGCAGTAAGTAATATAAGCATTGTACATTTTCCACAAATGTCTATTAATTAGCTAATAAATATTTGTAATTTATTGTTTGTGACCATTTTTCCTGTGACTTTTTTTCTGTGACTTTGTTCCTGTGTTTTATTTCCTGTAACTTTCTTTCCTTCATTTGATAAACTTCCCTTGTCAATACGGTAATCAGTATTCATTGACAATGTTGTGTGGCGTTTCCTTTCACTGACTTCATGTTATGAAACTGTCCATGACCGGAAGCTGTCTTGCAATGAATATGTTAACCATAGTTCGTGTTTATACTCACACACAGTTTCAGTTTTGCTTTGGTTTGGGCTGTTTGGTGAAACGCGAGGCGAATGATAATTGAATACTTTGCCAATCAGCAGGAATTTTGGAACGCTCTTAACAACAACAATTAAACATGTGTTTTTTTCTACTTTCAAGGTTTTTCAGGCGGGGAAAGATCAAATAAAATGGCATTTTAATGAAGCGCAATTATTGAGGACATTAATATTTAATAACTTTTGTGATGACATTATCATTGTGAAACAAACCAAATTAATGTATTCCGTCTGAGTTGATGGCCGTCGAATATTTAGGGGATATTGTGTTTTCAAAAAATTTCTTCGGAACAAAATGAATTTAATTATATTAATTCAAAATTGTCATTTAGCCCTTTTAAAGTTATTTCTTAATCAATAGAAAACTTACAATAACTTTAATGTTGGAAAATGTAGAAATTGTTCCAGATCTGTTTATGGTCATAGACCCCACCTTATCATAAACTCCAAAAGAAAGTATTGACTTGAAAAGCGTTACTAGGCTGAAAACATATGCCGAAACACCGCAAAGGTCCAAAAGAACCATGACACCGTATCAAATACATCGCAATCGAAGAACCATTTCTTGTTTGTTTCATTTTAGCCATCAAAAATGGGTGTATCTTTTCTTTAGCTCACTCACTCCCATTCACCGAGGTGGGATACATGCGTATGGACAGATAGTAACCATAGAAAATATCAATACGAATTAACTGTATCCTGCGCGGACGCATGCTGTTGTGTTTAAGACACATCACCAGTTTACCTGCCATATTTGAGGTTCTCCGTATTAGCTGTTTACGCGTATTGGGCCCATCACCTCACCCCACCCCTGTACCTCTCCCGCCCCGGAACCCCCTCCCCACAACCGTGTTTTAACAAAATTACGTTCTCGTGCATTCGTCATCATTATAATAATGAGTGAGTGAATCATATGGTTTTAACGCCGCTTTTAACAGTATTACAGTTATTTCGCGGCGTGTCAGCTTAATGTGGGAGGAAAGCCCGAAGCGATGCAGGTCTCAGACGTTTACCACTTCGGTGAAACCCACGAGCACGGGTATGAAGCTGACAAACCTAGAAACATAATTGGGGCGAACCGGGATTCGAACCCACAATCATAGGTTTCTGGCGCACCAAAGGGACGCAACTCTGCACAGCGCCTTAGACGACTGGCCCTAGCCCGTGGCCCCTAATAATAAAAACGACAAAACTCTTAGCCACAAGAAATCTCTACTGAAAGCAGAGTCAACTGTATATTTCCGACTGCATCGAAAGCATGTGTCTGTGAATCGCTATCAAATAGTGATGATACCAGGTGTAAGCGAAAAGATGAGCGTATCCTGCCCAACCGGTGGAACATATGGTACGAGTCAAAATAAGGAATTTCTTTGGACATGAGGACCGCCACCGTGGTCTAGTGGATAGAGCGTCTGCCCGGAGAGATGAAGGTTCGAACCCAATGCGCGTCGTACCAAAAGTCGTTAAAAGAACTTGTTGTTACTCTCCCTGGCGCTCGGTAGTAAAGGGATAAAACAGGGAATGGTCGGCTTGGAGTCTGTATATTGTGTCTGAGAGGGGTATCAATGTTAAATGCGGCATGCTCAGTGGACTAGCACTATAAAATCGTTATTAGTCCGGATTAGTAAAGCAGCTACACACTCACATACGCGAATGCACGTGCAATAATGTTGAACACGACGTTAGACCCTATTTCATCTCCAGTTATATCAGCTTTATGTTGAAGGAACGTCCGTAGTGATGCAGGTCGTACACGTTTTGTGAAACACATATGGTGCTTGTCGATTAATAATCATAATGAGGGCCTCACCTCATCTCACCTCACCTCACCTCACCTCACCTCACCATAAAACAGGAACACGTGTGTCCTTGGGAAGTGATTGTTTCCTGGTGGTATATATCTTGAACAATATAACAATGATATCCAGATTATAAAACCTTTCGCTAATCGCTAATCGTTGTGGACACGCAGAGCCCAATTTCTAGGATAGTAGTGGATACGTACACCACAACAGTCTAAATCAAACACGGATAGTTTAAACCGTCATTTCTCTTGCGTTATCAGAGAGTCAACCGCCTATACACCTTAAACAAGTCAGTCGTTGTGCTCCCATGAGGTGATGGACGTGTGGCTCACGAGCCGTTTTCCCCGACCCCCTGGCCGCCATAACTGACCCTCTGGCCGCTGTGCCTGACCCCCTAGGCGCTGTACCCGAACCCCGGGCCGATATACCTGACCACCTGACCGCTATACCTGACCCCCTAGCCGCTGTACCCGAACCCCGAGCCGATATACCTGACCACCTTACCGTTATGCCTGACCCCCGAGCCGCTGTACCCGAACCCCGGGCCGGTATACCTAACCACCTGACCGCTATGCTTGACCCCCGAGCCACTGTACCCGAACCCCGGGTCGCCATACCTGACCACCTGACCGCTATGCCTGACCCCCGAGCCGCTGTACCCGAACCCCGGGCCGGTATACCTGACCACCTGACCGCTATGCCTGACTCCCGAGCCGCTGTACCCGAACCCCGGGCCGGTATACCTGACCACCTGACCGCTATGCCTGACTCCCGAGCCGCTGTACCCGAACCCCGGGCCGGGATACCTGACCCACGGGCTGGTGCATTTGAAGCTGCAGGACTTCACTGCCCAGTGGAGGGTGTACCCACCCCAACCCCAAACAAAGATCATTGACTAGTTATACCCACAGGACGTGGCCCCACGAGGCTTCCCTGCACCCCGCTATTCGGTCTGACACGTGGATTAGCACAAAGCCCCCGACAATAGTAGGATCGAGTGAGCTCTCCTCCCAGAGGCACTGATTAATCCAGGGCCAATTTGTCACCGTCAGGTGGAAGTGTACTCGTCGCTTCTACACTCACTCACCCTGCCAAAATACCAATGCATCACTGTTATCATGCTTATGTGTCGGCCTGTTACAATACCATTGTGTCACTGGTATGATAACAAACTGTCACTTTGCCGCAATACCCATGCATCACTGTTATCACGCTAATGTATCGGCCTGTTACAATACCAACGTACCAACATTTTTTTACCATACCAGTGTCACATTCTGCTACAATACCCACATGTCACTGTCAAGATTCTGATATCATAATCACGTGTCACTGCGAACATTCTGTTACAATATCCACGTGTCACTGGCAACATTCTGCGACAATATCCACGTGTCACTGCCAAAATTCGGCTACAATAATCAAATGTCACTGCCAACATTCTGAGACAATACCATTGTGTCAATGCCAACAATCTGCTTTAATACCATTGTGTCACTGTCAACATTCTGCTACAATATCCAAGTGTCAATGCCACCTTTCTGCGACAAAATCCAAATGTCACTGCCAACATTCTGTGACAATACCATTGTGTCACTGTCAACATTTTGCTGCAATACCCATGCGTCACTGCCAACATCCTGCTACAATATCCACGTGTCACTATTGTCATCTATCACGATGCAGTGTGTTATTCTTATACAATTACAGAGATGCCAGTGTCTTGGTGTATCACTCTGCTACAATGCAAAGTGTCCCGACTAACTTACTGGTGTGTTACTCTGTTACAACACCAAGTGTCACTATTAACATCACATTGTGTCACTCACCTTGTGTTAACATCCTAGTGTGTTACTCTGCGAAAACGGCATATGTCACTATTTTTATCCTGGTGTGTCACTCAATCACAACACTGTGTGTCACTATTATTATCCTAGTTTGTCACACAGCTACAACACTATGTGTCACTATTTTTATCCTGGTGTTTTACTCAATTACAACACTATATTTCACTTTCATTATCCTGGTGTGTCAATCTGCTACAACATGATGTGTCACTATTTTTACCCTGGTGTGTCACCCAATTACAACACTATGTGTCACTATTATTATCCTGGCGTGTCACTCAATCACAACACTGTGTGTCACTATTTTTATCCTGGTGTGTCACTCTGCTACAACACTGTGTGTCTCTATTATTATCCTGGCGTGTCACTCAATCACAACACTGTGTGTCTCTATTATTATCCTAGTGTGTCACTTTGTTACTATTAAATGTGTCACTATTATTACCCTGGTGTGTCACTCAATCACAACACTATGTGTGGCTATTATTATCC